CTCTCCAGTGTTGCACTGTTTAACTGGACTGACTCCTGTCTTCTGGTTCTTGCAGTACACTGTCTTCAAAGCAGTGATCACTTAGATTCTCTTTAAAAGTTTTGTGCTTTAAGATCATTTCAGTCCCTCTAGCCCTTGGGTGAACCTTTTGAGATAAGAGAAAAACTCGGGATTCTTTTAACACTTTCATTTCCAGTTTTAGTTACCTGCAATCTGCCAGGTTCCTGCTATCTACCATGTTTAAAAAAATATTAAATGAAAAATCTCAAATTGTAAATTGCACATCATCTTGAGTATGATGAACTCTTGTCCTGCAGAGGACACGGATCGTCCTTAGGTCTGGCTTCTTCACGCTGTCTGTGCTACCCCAAGTCATTCAGTAGCTGTCTGGGTCATCGACTGTGGCGGCCTCACAGTGCTTGGATTCAAGTAACTCAGTAATTTTTCTTAACGGCCCCGAAGAGATGGAGCCGTGAAGCAACTTAGATGTGCCGGAGAGAGGCTGTAAGGTGCTTTAAGTAAAAAGGTGAAAGTTCTTGACTTAAACTCATAAGCTGAGTTTGCCAAGATCTACGTTAAGAAAAACTTTCTTTGAGATCACGAAGGAAGAAAACTGCAAGTTTTGCTGTGACACATCAAACTAAGTTATAGCCACAGTATATTGTCTTAGCTGTTCTATTTTATTGTCAATCCCTTCCTTACTGTGCCTAATCTATAAATTCAACTTGATCATAGGTATGTATGCATGGATAGAATATGGTGTATGTATAGGGCTCAGTGCTGTCTGCAGTTCCAGACATCCACAGTGGGGGGGTCTTAAACTGTCTCCCACAGATAAGGGGAATCTGTACCTCTGTCCACTACTCAAGCTGATGTGTAGCATCTTCTGATTTGCTGTGACTTCATGTATGTTTAAAACTACCCGGCACATGTAAAGCCCTGTTTATGGTTTGGGGAGTATCACAACTTCCTGTTTCTCTTCCTCTATCTTCTTAGTGCGTTTCACACCATTATCTTCTCTTTACAAGCTTTAATCAAAGCAGAAAGACGACCCCAATATACTATACTTGGCCCCCTTTTTCTCATTCAGTGACAAATGATGACTGTTAGAGCTATGTGGCACTTTGGCGTGTCACCAACATTTTACTAATCGATTCTTTTACTGAAAACACTGAGGTCTGGAGAAGTAACTATGCATGTCATCCCCAAAGCGATTTTGACAGCTGTGAGTAAAGCACAACGGCATTAGCTGTTATTTGTGGTTAAACACCTTTTAAAATAGTCCCCAACATATTTTCATTTTTAGAAATCCCCACTTTAGACTTAATGATTTGCTTTTATGAGGATTTTTGATATGATACATTAATCAAACTTAGCTATATACCCCTTAAGAATATTGTCAGTTGCTGTTAATCTTAGCTCACACAGTACTAGGTGAGTGTCTTGAACACGGAATGTGTTTGCACTTGAGGCGTTCTGTCTCCAAGGATGGAATGGAAAACCCCTCCCTTTAAAGCTCTGCAGGTAAATTGTGTCAAGTGGAGAAGGTCAGTTCTGGTTAGCAGCTGGATTGCCACAGAAGGGACACTGGCTGATTCTTCTCATAGCTCTCGTCATGCTGAATTCCCGGAAAGGGGTGTCAATGAATTGCACGAAGCTCTTCCTGGTAGAATAACATCTGACCTCCCTTGGAGATCTCTTCATACAATTTTCAGTGAGTCACCAATTGTGCTTGATTTCTATGGCTTCTCCCAGAACAACCCCAGGACTGTTGTCCTGAAACATCCAGCTTTGATCACCTGGCACCCTGCAGGGAGATTCTCCTCATTCTCTTTCCCGCTTCTCGCCATGTGGCAGACCGCAGGTAGAATAAATGCCTCTTGGTGAGCTCACTCATCCCTTACCCATCAGCCCCAAGTGTGCAGATAACAGATGCAGAGCTCCTGTGCACGGTGTCCTCCACCTCTGGGCTTGATCTTCCCACCCTCCTGTTCCTGCCAGATAATTATGCTGCAACACTGGGTGACGTTATAACTGGTCCTGGGGGTCAGGGTTTCTGGGTTATGTTCTAACCTGCACTGGGGACAAAGTGTTCCCCGCCTTGAACAGCAGAGAGGCCTGAAGCTTCGATCATGGAAATCTTTCTTTATCTTCCTCTCTTTCAAAAGCCTTTTTTTTTTTTTTTTTGGAAAGACTAGATGAGGGAAATAGGAAAAAACCTAAGGATCTTAGAGTGGAGAATAATCATAGTGGAGGAAAGATGACCTGATGGGGAATGGAATCTAGGATCTTGTGTGTGTGAATAAGCCAAACCACACATGTTAAATAGCATCAACTCAAATGTTAACATTTAGATGCCCGGAACTGACTTAAACAGAAGTAACTGATAACAAATTTTTTCATAATGCAGATACTTTATCTGCCTACTTGCAATGCCCAGTATCCTATGGAACAATATCAGGCTCGCATTTGAACATGTCACATTTGGTTCTCAATATTGGCTTCATTGAAATGGGTGAATTGCTCGTTTGCGCCCAGCCAGTGTAGTGTTCTGCTCTTCAGCGGGGCTGCTCCCTACACACATCCCTACCCATGCCATGCACACTCACATATGAACACTCTACACACATATACACACAACACAAGCAATCTCTAATCTTTTTTAAACAGTCTTGGTTGTATAAAAATAAGGGAGGTTGGCTAAAATCATATTTTTCTATTTCAGCTTTTTACTCTTCTATTCTGGGATCTACAATGAGATAAGATCTGGGAGTTGAAAATGGTTTACTCCTCTATCGGACATTTGAGGCAATAGACTGTTTTGCCTCCCCTTTGAATACCTTGTGAAGTGTAGTCTGATTATTTATATGAAACAAAATGATTTGACTTGTGTTCTGATTCAAAAGTAATTATTTTAAGTCACTTTCATGTCTTTCTTGCCTATTTCAGTTTCTCAAAGTGTATTTTTAAAGGATGATTGTAAGCTAACACTATAGTAACTAATGTATAATATCCATAATGCATTTAAGTGAAACAATAGATATGGGTCAAGATAAACTTATTGTCTGCCAGATTAATACTTTTCCAACAAGCTGTTGCAAAAGCCACTATAAATGGAATTTTATATTTAAATAGTCTCTTGACCCATGACTCAAAGCTGTGGCTATCACAAGAAAATCTTACACCTATTAGAGAAGGCAAAAGTAACTGACTCTTATCAAGCTTGACAGGAGTTAATATTTGATGCTCATATATATTTTTTCTCCTCAACCAAGGTGTGATTAATTGAAGTTTCAGCACAGACCAACATAAAAATTGCTTTTCTTTTTCTCTTTGAAAGTTTACTCATCTTTTAGGTCTATTACGCACATCTCCATCTCTGAGCACTAAGAAGGAAAACTGTCTACTGTTCCTATTGTTTTTGCTTCAACGTAAGGGGAGATTATTCCTTCTTGATGCTTCAGAGACTATAAATTTGACTATTCTGGAACCAAAAGATTCAGATATATTTGTAGTATTGGTGGCCAAAACGTTTTACAGAAACATTTCTTCAGTAATCCTGTCCCTAAAATGAGAAAGAGGTACACCATAATCTAAAAGGAACAATTCATCCCTCAATATTCCTGAACATATCAAAAGAACACACATTCACGTTACTCAAAGCATGAGAACTCATTCCATTTAGTTCAAGGAATGCTTGATACTGCTGTCTTGAGTTCAGAAATGTCTTTACGAGCTATAGATTCTTTGTTATGTTTTGTTTTTTGAGACGAAGTCTCGCTCTTGTCCGCAGGCTGGAGTGCAATGGCATGATCTCGGCTCACTGCAACCTCCGCCTCCCCCGCCCAACCGATTCTCCTTCCTCAGCCTCCCGAGTAGCTGGGATTTTACAGGCACCTGCCCCCAAGCCCGACTAACTTTTGTATTTTTAGTAGAGATGAGGTTTCACCATGTTGGCCAGGCTGGTCTCAAAGTCCTGACCTCAGGTGATCTGCCTGCTTCAGCCACCCGAAGTGCTGGGACTACAGGTGTGAGCCACTGCAACTGACTAGTTATTTTTAGAGACATGAAGGAGCAGCAAAATGGTAGAGAAATTTGAGGAAAAAACCCAACTAGCAGTGGATTCCTGGGAAGATATTACACTAGGACAGGTTCAGAATGCCACTCTGTCAGAAACGCTAACGTTTTGGCTAAACAAGAGAAGATTAAGTCCATCAAGTGATATGATGCAGTATCTAGTCATAAAATTTTAGCAGAATTCATTGTCAACCAGAATAGACCACCATTAAGGAAACTAAAGTCCTGCTCTGAAGCAGTTTGTGGTGGTCCTTCCAGATTTATGATCCCCATATTAGTGTGAGAAAAACACAAGGTCTCATAGCAATCCATGACTAAAACATGAACTCCCTTTGCAGGGCAAAAGTCTAACCACAAGACAGTGGCTCCTGACCTCAAATGAGGTCATCTGTACTGCTTTGAGGCTGCAGACTTGTTGTAAAGCTGTTTAGGAACAGCAGCCAAAAAAGTCAGTTATCGAGATATTTTCTACCAATTTCGTAAGTCACAAGTTAGATATCTGTGTATGATCTTAATACAATCATCTTAATGGAGATGCAGAGAACAATTTAAACCCAAACCATGTATTGCAAGGCGAAATGGGAAATAAGGCACGGTAACCACCCTCAGAAAACTTTCAATCTAAAGTGGTAAGATTATAAAATGTATTCAGAAGATCAAAATAAGCCGATTCTAAACCAGGTACTGTATGAATTATTACATTTACATCTCACATCCAGCCTGTATAGAACTAGGATGAGCTTTCACAGTTGATGAAATTTAGTTGAGAGATTTTCTGTCCAATATCATACAGATCATTAACACTGAAACTGGGATTTCAAATGATCCTGAAGTAGGTGATCTTTGCTTTATCACACGCTGCTGACATCCTATTCCTGGTGGGCTCTTCCTACATGTCAGGTCATTAAATAAGCTGCCGGATTTCTGCCTTGACAGCCCAAGGAGCTCTCATGGACCATGGGCATGGAGGGCCTTCTCCAGAACTCCACTAACTTCGTCCTCACAGGCCTCATCACCCATCCTGCCTTCCCTGGGCTTCTCTTTGCAATAGTCTTCTCCATCTTTGTGGTGGCCATAACAGCCAACGTGCTCATGATTCTGCTCATCCATGTGGACTCCCGCCTCCACACTCCCATGTACTTCTTGCTCAGCCAGCTCTCCATCATGGACACCATCTACATCTGTATCACGGTCCCCAAGATGCTCCAGGACCTCCTGTCCAAAGACAAGACCATTTCCTTCCTGGGCTGTGCACTTCAGATCTTCCTCTACCTGACCCTGATTGGAGGGGAATTCTTCCTGCTGGGTCTCATGGCCTATGACCGGTACGTGGCTGTGTGCGACCCTCTCCGGTACCCTCTCCTCATGAACCGCAGGCTCTGCTTATTCATGGTGCTCGGCTCCTGGGCGGGCGGCTCCTTAGATGGGTTCATGCTGACTCCTGTCACTATGAGTTTCCCCTTCTGTAGCTCCCGAGAGATCAATCACTTTTTCTGTGAGATCCCAGCCGTGCTGAGGTTGTCGTGCACAGACACGTCGCTCTACGAGACCCTGATGTATGCCTGCTGCGTGCTGATGCTGCTCCCTCCTCTGTCCGTCATCTCCGTGTCCTACACGCGCATCCTCCTGACTGTCCACCGGATGAACTCTGCTGAGGGCCGGCGCAAAGCCTTTGCTACGTGTTCCTCCCACGTCACGGTGGTGAGCATGTTCTACGGGGCGGCCTTCTACACCAACGTGCTGCCCCACTCCTACCACACCCCGGAGAAGGACAAAGTGGTGTCCGCCTTCTACACCATCCTCACCCCCATGCTCAACCCACTCATCTACAGCTTGAGGAATCAAGAGGTGGCCGCAGCTCTGAGGAAAGTGCTGGGGAGATGTGGCTCCTCCCAGAGCATCAGGGTGGGGACTGTGATCAGGAAGGACTAGCGGGGACTCTGCAAACATCTGCGGTGCTGCGGCAGTTATTCTAGAAAATACGGTATTGGTTCTGAAGCTCAGGGTGGCGACTGTGACCAGGAAGGACTAGCGGGGACTCCCAGGGCATCAGGGTGGCGACTGTGACCAGAAAGGACTAGCGGGGACTCCCAGGGCATCAGGGTGGCGACTGTGATCAGGGAGGACTAGTGGGGACTCTAACATCCGCAGTGCTGCAACCAATAACGCAGCTATTTCAGAAAATACGGTATTGCTTCTGAAGAATGTTGTCACGTAGCTAATTCAAAATTATTAACAGGCAAAATCATCCTGTTGCGATGATTACTTGGCAACAATAGCAAAGCTGGGGAGCATCTCTGCATTAGCCAACTTGTTCAACTGGATTCACCAAGAAACCTTTCCAGAGGGGATTCTCAGGCAGGTAGCCCTAGAAACCGTTCCTGGCAAGCCCAGCCGCCCTCTGGAGTGCCCGTGTTAACCTGTGATCATGATCCTTCTGTCTGCATTGCTGACCATCCTCTGAATGGAAATCGGAGCATTTGCCACCTCCTTGATTTACTTTCAAACATTCAATACAAGTAAAATATTTTCCAGTGCTAAATGTGTAGCAGTTTTATTTAGAAAACTTTTAGGTGATACTATCGTATTTTGATTCTTTATTCTTACATTTTATGAATGTTCTTAGTTCAGAGGTAAGTGATAAAACATTATAAATACTTGCCCTGCGTTTATTCCCATGGAGTCCAATATATTCCTGGAAATAAATATTCATTTATTGAAAACTGACTGCCATTAAGATTGTTACATGGCCGAAAACCTACAAAACTGCCATTTACACTTAAATGGTAATAGATAAAATGTCTTGGTTTATTGATTCTACACTTAGTTCCCTTGGAATAAGTTGTTCAATTTTCTTATTCTCAACATCTTCACTGATATGCTAAAGACAAGTATTTCTGTAATGAGTTGGAGTTAAGTGTGGTGCTTTGATAGACGTGTGACTTTGGAATACTAAGCCAAGACTGCACTCACTCCACCATTTAACTTTAGCTGCTTCTGTGTGTAAGGTCCTGAAATAGGAGAAATAAAAAATTGAGGGACCTGGTGTTTTTCTTTGATACCACTTTGTCCAGTGTTTTCTAAACCTTGTTACACAGTTGAAGACTAAGCAAAGGTTCCTCAGTCTTATGTTCTAGTGTCAACACAGGTGGAAGGAACAATGTTTCCTCCATTGTTGATGTAGGTAAAGAATATTCCCTTCAATATGCTAATCCCTAGGTTTTTTATTCAGAACGTTCCGAATAATTTGATCTTGACCTGAAATCAAACGCATGGAAAAGAGATGGAAGAATGTCCTGGAGGGATTAAGTGAAGAAACAGACCAGGATTCATCTGTGAAATATCCTCAGTGTTATTTCAATTCAGCTCCATTCACATTTAATTCCTTTGTATCTGCACTAGTGCCCTCCCCCTTCTCCATTCTCCTGCCTTAGCTAGCACCCCCTTGATCTATCTTCCCTCTACAACACTCCTCCAATTCACACTGCCTCTGTGCTCTATCCTGGGACATTTGTGTTTTTTCCCATTTCCTCAGTTGCTACATATTAAAAAATAGGACTTTTGTTATTTCCAAGATTAATTCTCTGCACATTTAACTAGAATATTTAACTCTAACACTGACAGACATTTCAAAAGTATTGCTGAAGCAATAAGTGAGGTGCATTTTGACAAGTTTCTGGGGATATCATGGACTTTAGTGATCGGGGCATGGAAGGAATGACTTATTCAATGTTTGAGTCTATTCAAGCAATTCCATGGTGGTTACATCAACATGTTCTTATCCTAGTGATTTATCAATCTTTCCACTGTTGACGTGTGCACTTTTCTGTTGTAGGCTCTACTTCAATACAACTTAAAAATTAAGTCTCATTTTACACATGGTGGGTACCCACTCTCCTCACACATACAACTAGTCCCACTGTAAAAGGGAGTGACCAAGGATTTTTCCCCAGTCATCTCACCAAATTCTTCATCAGGTAATTTGTGGTCACCAGATTTGCTTATTAAAATATATGAATTATTTTATTATTTAGTAATATACATAATTTAGTAACTTAGTTAATATTAGTTGTATACCTGAAACATGACATGCACTAATCCAAGTTATGAGGAAAACATAGACTGTCCCCAGGACTGTCCCTAGTTTTGAAAACATTTAACTACATTATCTGATTTTTGATTCTGATCTTCACAAAATATTAAAGAATCGGCCCCATGGGAGATGAAGAAGCTGATGTTCACAGCAAGTTATTTCCCCATTCAAGCGAGAGGCAGATGGGCCTTCAGAACCACATCTTCTAACCTCTGGTCTGGTGTTTTGTGCCAAGCCATGATACTGATAATTGACAAAGGGGAGAAGCAGCCGGGCACGGTGGCTCATGCCTGTAATCCCAGCATTTTAGGTGGCTGAGGCAGGTGGATCACTTGAGGCCAGGAGTTTAACCTGCCCAACATGGCGAAACCCTGTCTCTACTAAAAATACAAAAAATTGGCGTGGTTGGCACATGCCTGTAATCCCAGCTACTCGGCTGAGGCAGGAGAAATGCTTGAACTCAGAGTGGAGGTTACAATGGGCCGGAGATCATGCCCACTGCACTCCAGCCTTGGCAACAGCAAGACTGTCTCAAAAACACAAAGTGGGAGAAGCACATGGCATGATGATGTGCAGCTGCCAGCTTAACCCTCATACGACCTGGGGACAAAGGTCCCTTCAGAGCAACATGCTGGTGAAAGCCATGTTCATTTGCTGTTGGAGGCCAGTTAGGCTGGTCTAGCGAGGACCTGATGACCCACGTCGAGGGGTAATCGGATTCCCTGTGGGGTCTTTCTGCAGGTGAGGGATATGGATATAAAGCTAACTGAACGCTTGCTTCTACAGACTTTTTATTTATACAGCAAGCATCTATGCAATATAAAATTATAATAGAAGAAAACATACAGTCTACTTATTTAAATACCTTATTTAACTGCCTTATTCAATACTCAGGAAGATATCAGGCAAAAAGGAATGATCAGAGAAACTGAAGATAATTAGATAACTAATATGCTAAATAATTTAGCATAAAGAAAAGAATGCAGACCTCTGTATCCACAAAAATTAAAAAACTGAAAATTGAAAAAATTAGTGATAGAACATCCCTGTGAAGTTAAACAACTGACTTTAAATGAAGTCTGAGAATTCTGACAATTTAGGTGAAAGCAAAATGACCAAAACATCAGGTCCTGACTCTACAAAGTTCCATACATGAAACAATTGTATTAATAGATAATCGTATGGCATTGATAGGTTATTTAGTTAAAACAATAGGCTGATTCTTACACAAATGATAAAAGCCAGATGCATTTTTAAGCTTTTTCCCAGTTGGATTGTATTGAGGGTAGATTTCTTAAACCTGGGTGACTCCCGTGCCGTGCACACACTTTCCAGCATTTCACTGTGTGCTTCCTTCTAAATCCCAGGTCGTCAAAGGCCAAGAAAACATTTAATCTTGACTACATTCCCTTGGTTTATACAACTAGTTAAGAATATAAAATGGTAAATAAATTACCTGTAGCTTCAACACTGGTTATTTCACATTGTATTTTTATGAGCACTTTAAGCTTCTTTGGTTTTATTAAATCATCACAAACCTAAAAACAAGGATCTTTATTTTGTGATGCATCCCAAGGACCTAAAAACTTTCCTGATAGAGAATCTGCCCTTAATAAATGAGTCTAAGAAACGAATGAAAACTATTTCACAAATTTGCCCTTAATAAATGAGTGAATATGAGTGTAAGAAAAGAAAACTTTCATGAATTTGCCCTTAATAAATACGAGTGTAAGAAATGAATGAAAACTATTTCACTTTAGAAGGCGTAGTTACCCCAAAGTACAAACTCTAGTTTCTAAAAATCCTTAAAAAAAAAAAAAAAAAAAAAAAAAAAAAAAAAAACTTTCCTTGGCATCTCAGGTTTGAAGTGACGTCATGGAAACTGGAGTTTAACAAAGTTAGATGACTTGTACAGGCTCACATAGAACTGCATGTCGGGGTGATGCTAGAAGCAAAAAACCCAAAAACTGTACTTAAATTATTTCCGGATTCACTAAGTGATTTCTAACTATTTTAAAATTGCAGCTTATGTTAAAAAAAAAAAAAAAAGTCATTGGCTTTTGCTAGATTCTTCATATATTCTTTCTTTGAAGAAACAGGAGGTAAGTTCCATTAGGGGCATTTGCTCAAGGGTGGAAGCAGAAAACTCGTGACTGAATTTAATTGCAAGGTTTAGGATTACATGTGTCAGCTGATGTCATCAAAATTCTTTCCCTGGAATTCCAAAGTGCTTAACTGAAAATGATCAGTGATGTTAACTATTCCACAAACTTGGAAAAATTAAAATCAGAAACATGTTTGAATGTAGTTAAAACCATATCTTTGGGCCTCAGCTTCTGAATATGAAGGTTTAATGAAAACTGCTTTGCTGTCTCCCTGGATCAACTGTGGAAATGACTTCAAAGGGAGAAAGGATATAATTTTGGCCCAAGGCAGGGATGCTCGCAAGTAACGGCTTTGTGTAATTTGAAAGACTAAAAATCTTCCTTTGGATTATTTCTAAGGACAAGATTATAATACATGCTGTGTATGTATTAAGGGATTTCAGTTCAAAGGTAGAGAGTAGAGTTGTAAGGAGATTACATACATATAGACACACATACACACACGTACGCACGCATATGTATATTATAGAGGTGGAAAATATGCCACCTTTTCTCTTAAGAATACAATGAACCTGCTATATGGTGATGAATGTAGATCACCTTACATTCCAGTGGTCACTTAGAACTCTATTATGTGCTAAAACCTAAAATTATCTAGTATGTGTCCAGTTGGCAGATGCTTAGGTTACTTCCACTTTCTTATTGCAAAATAACACCAGAATGGGTTTTTTTAAATAAGTTGC